AGGGTACCTCAGCTAGAGCATTGAATACAACACTTCATTACATGTTTTAGTCCAAGTTTCCTATTGCTAAAGGCGGTATGCTGCAGTACATAATTCCAATGCCAAAACCTGTTAGCATCACGATTAACGACCTTTGAAGTGCCCATTTTCCCTCCAAGTAAGATCTCGATTGATGAGCAGAGGTTGGCCTTTGGTGCTTCATTTGTTAGGGAAATGTAGGGTTTGCATAAATTCAGGCTTGTTGGATCAAGTCTTTTTAATGTTGCCATAGCTTCTTCTTTGCGGCCAGAAGGGAGATTCGCGTACGAAAAGATGCACTAACACTCAATACAAGATTGATGGAACTGATGTCCATACATAGATAGTTCTCCTTGAAGAATTTATGTTGATATAAGCGATACCTGGCAACGACAATAGCCCTCATGAAACGAAAGAAATTCCAGCAATAGTTCCCATTTGGCCACGCCATTGGCTTCCTAGCTCCCTTTTCAGTGGATAAAACAAGATCACTTGCTCCAGTTGATGCACGGCCCAATCCACTTAAAAAATCTGAAAGCAGAATAGATTCATACGTTACTGGAGAAAATGGTATTGAAAGACAGACACTGTTGGGAATTCCGACCGGTGATGTACTGATATTTGCTCATAGGAGGCCAAGCACACTGACACAATATTTAACGTGGTTCGGCAAAACCGCCTACATCCACGGGAGAAGCCATTGCATTATGTAGGGAGAGTACAAGATTTACAACAATAGAGGAGGAGGAATCATCCCCTCTTTCACAACTCTCAACCTCACTCTATTTCTCTCTTTTTAGTGCTGCAATGGCAGCCCACTCTCTCCTACATTTCTCACATCTTTGGCCTTTTTCTTTCTCTCTACTCTCTTCACATTCTCATAAAACTCTTCACATTTTGCTCTCTAACATATGCCTCTATTTATAGGCATTCATGGAGGCTCTTCTTGCTTTGTTGTCAATATTGGTGGCCACCAACTCTAACTCATTCAACAATGGTGGCTACCAATAGTCAATGGTCAATGGTTGGTGCCTTACATGAAATGACAACCAACCTAACAATCACCCCCTTTGCCATTCATGTGGGGCAGCTGTCCTCTTGCTTCTTCAACACAAGCTTGCATCTTGCAGCTCTTCCAAGCTTTCTATTCTAAGAGCATCTTTGGCCAAGTTTATAGGTACTCGCCAAACCTTTCAATCATCAGAGTAACCAAAGCACACCTTTTTCTCACACAAAAGGATCACTATAACCAGATGGTCTGCCACATCACATCTGAATAGTGTTAACGCTTGTCTTTGGAACAACATTTCCCTTCGAGCGTATCAACCATGCTCGGTCCGGAATGATTCATCAAGCCTCACATTAAGGCTTATAACACCCCCTCAAACGGATATTTCAAGTGCAACAGTCATTATCTGAGTATCTTAATATGATCACAAGCTCACCACTCTTCCAAAAGTCTACTCATCCAGGAGTTGCGTCTACCCTCTGTTCCACCCTAGGAACCACGCTTTACTTCTCCGTGAGTCTCTTGCTCTTAGTCTCAAGAGTCCAGGTAGCTTTCCACCTTTAACCATGGGGGCAGCCCATTAAAGGTTGATCCATATATGTCTTGATACTCTGAGTATTACAATGCCTTCATCGAGCTCACCACCTTGACAAGAGTCAACTTGTTCCCAGAACCTGCGCATGCCCTCTGCTCCTTCATAGCAGCCGCGTCTTAATGCTCCACAAGTCATCCACTTATTATCCAAGGCAAATGTCTTCTAACTCATTGATCTTTAGCATGGGGGCAATATCCATGAAAGTCAATCTTGCATTTGTCTCCATACTCATCATAGCCACTTCATTGGCTATACACTTGTCCACTTATATCCAGCCATTACATTGGCTCTAGGGCGTTCTGAAATTGGGCTCCTATCATAGCCCTCACACCTTCTTTTGAGGTGTCTCCTCCTGTCATTATGAGACGATTTGAACTTGGACTCATATCACGGTCCTTACACCTTCTCCTAAGGTGTCTTCGTCTGTCGTCATGAGATGGTCTAAACTTGGACTTATATAACGGTCCTCACACCTTCTCCTGAGGTGTCTCTTCCTGTCTTCATGAGACGGTCTGAAATTGGACTCATATCATAGTCCTCACAACTTCTCCTAAGGTGTCTCCACTCATCGTCATGCGGCGGTTTATACTTGGGTTCCTTTCATGGCCCACACACCTTCTGTCTGAGGTGTCTTTATTCGTCATAAAGTAGTCACATCCTCCTTCATCGGGGATGTCTCCAGTGACTAAGATTCTCTATCACCATGTGGACTTGGGAGAGTTCATTGCCACTGATCATATAGAAAGAGAAAGTTGCGGTATACTCCTCGTAATCCTCCACCTCGATTTCTATGTTTGGAGCTTCTATGTCTTCATCATTACACTTGACAGCTCCACCTACACCAACTCTCTTTGGTGTCTTCGCCTTTCATCATAGGTGGTCACCTTTTATCACAGACGTTTGCACCCCCTCAATTAGGTGCATTTACAACAGCTCATCTTTCCATCCTTGCATGCATTGGAAATGTTCTCGCTTGTTGTCTTTATCAAGAGCACAAGAGACTTCCTGTTGTACAACCTTCACACAGTCTCTACTCTAAGCTTCATCTAGGAACACTTATTCTTCTTGCACTTGCTGTCTCATTACAGTACCTCGTTGGATCCTCCGGGTACTCCTGCACAATCTCCGTGTGTCCTCATGCATTTTCTGTTCTCCAGATTTCTCCTTATTCCTTGCTTATGTTTGACAGCAACTCATCCTGTCATAACATCTATCCAAGTCAAAATAGGGTGCCAATCTTTATCCCTTTGCTGCATTGCTCTTCCATTATCAGGGTCTTCATCAATTCTCCCCTCGAGAAATTACAGTCACCGAATCTAACTTCCTTGGATAAATCACCACTCCATCAGATCCTTGATCATATAGAACCCAACTGTTCCTTTGTGCCGTCATCCTGCTAGTCTTCAACAGTTTCATAACAAACTGTCACATATACGAAAATAGTACCGTATGGATAATCCTTCCACTAAGCAAGTTCCTAGGAAAGATTGGAGGGGTCATAACGGTCCCGCTTAAAACCCAATCTCCTAGTCAGAACTTCTTAGGCCATATCTATCCATCGTACTGTTTTTTCATATATACAACCATTTGCTAGCTTTGTCGTGGCTTTCCTTTACAAGTGATCTAGGGTATCCTGGTTTTATATCTGATTTCTCAATATCTGGCGAGACTACCAGTGCTCAGATTCGTCAAGATTGGTCTTCATCAAATTTCACTCTCCACCTCAAATTGTCCACATGATCGGGTGTTTAGAGTGTCCCAATTTTTCCTTCCCTCAAGGAAATTAAAATTCCCCACATAACACTTCAACACATGTAATTAGGCAAACATGTGTGATTTCTTCTTCTTCATCTCCATCGACCACCATGATGACCATCAGATGCCTCCTAATCGGGCAATTTCTCTTTAATAATTCACCACTATCATTTCTGATCTCAATCTCAATGATCGGACTGTACCATTGCATCCGGAACGATCAAATTAGCTGGAAACAAGTCTTAAATCGTCCAAATCGCACTTCGGACGGCTAAGATTTGATCAAAACAATTCTGGCTTGATAAACGGCCCAAATTCAATCTCAAAACCGGTTGCACGTAGACTCCGCCACACAGAATCCTATCCCTCGGCTCGCGACTCAGCTCGGCTTTAACTCGGCTCGGCTCGCGACTGGTGACGTGGCAGTGGGTACCACATTGCTGACGTGGCTGCTGACTGGTGCTGACATGTCATGCCACCTGTTCATGCTGACGAAACTGTGATGTCATGATAACGCCATCATCATCCGGATCTCGCACGTGGGTCAGATCTTCTGGTATTCAGGTCGGGTCAGCCCATCCGGGCGAAGAAGACGCGTGTGACACGTGGCGCGCGTCTGCGCGCGTGTCCAGTAACCTCGCCGGCGCGTGCGGCGGTTTTCGACGTCCGATTTCGACGCGGTTTTCACTAGTGGCTTCGTCTCTTCCTCCTCTACACATTGGTATGGTCAAAACACAATTTTGACAACTTTCATTTTTGAGCAAAATCAAACACCACTTTAAACCATGTGCTCTGATACCAATTGTTGGGAATTTCGACCGGTGATGTACTGATATTTGCTCATAGGAGGTCAAGCACACTGACACAATATTTAACGTGGTTCGGCAAAACCGCCTACATCCACGGGAGAAGCCATTGCATTATGTAGGGAGAGTACAAGATTTACAACAATAGAGCACGAGGAATCATCCCCGCTTTCACAACTCTCAACCTCACTCTATTTCTCTCTTGTTAGTGCTGCAATGGCAGCCCACTCTCTCCTACATTTCTCCTATCTTTGGCTTTTTTCTTTCTCTTTACTCTCTTCACATTCTCATAAAACTCTTCACATTTTGCTCTCTAACATATGCCGCTATTTATAGGCATTCATGGAGGCTCTTCTTGCTTTGTTGTCAATATTGGTGGCCACCAACTCTAACTCATTCAACAATGGTGACTACTAATAGTTAATGGTCAATGGTTGGTGCCTTACATGAAATGACAACCAACCTAACAGACAACTGAGGTAAAGGAGACCAGAGAGATGAATAGTCGTCTAATAGACAGAATAAATATATATGCTCTGGCTATTTTTTCTTTATTTTTATAATCAAATATTTTTATGCCTTATTATTTTTATTTTTTATTTTAAAATAATAACCAAATACTATTAAAATTCAGCTGTAGCAAAACAATCCAATAAGCAATGGAGAGAAAAAAATACAGTAATAGATAAATATTTTACATTAAAAAAAATAAAAATATATCAAAATAATATATTTTAAAAAAATTTAATGAAACTTAAAAAAAAAATAACAACCGTCACTTTCCATATTTTTCATAAAATTGAAATTAGATAAAAAAACACACAAAAACAAAAGTCAGTAACTTAATCCTTGGTCTCTCCTCTCCATCCTCATCCTCTGTTGCAAGCTTTCCTACCTACAAAACCACATACATAAACCAAACTAAACCCAACGCAAACCTTGAATATAAAAACATACCTTAAACAAACCGACCAAAACCTCTTCAAATCATCATTTAATGGAAGCGAAGATCAGAGGGGCCTTCGAGTCCGTCGGTTCCTTCTTCACCGGCGGCGATCATATCCCATGGTGCGACCGTGACATCATTATTGTAAGTACAATTGTGGGTTTTTCAGAATTTTTTTATTTGTCATTTTGGGCTTGAAAATTTAGTAAAAGTTGTTGATTTTAAGATATGTAGACTCAGATTTCATGCTCTACACATGTTAGACTGCTTAATCATGCTGTACTTCAAGAATTTTTTGGTGTTTTTAATATTGTTATGAGAGAGATTAAAACGATGCTTTTTGAAGATTTTTCTTCTGGGTTATTCATGGATTGGTGATTGATGTTGAATATGAGAGGAATGCGAGGAAAGAGAGAAAAATCATGATAGAGAATACAGGTTTTTTGTTTTTAAGTAAGGTGCAATTGAAATCAATTTTGCTAAAATAAAGATCCATCGGGAGCTGATTCGCTTTTCTTTAATGTATGGTCTTTGTATCCCTTTAAGATCCTCAACTCATTCTTCTTATTTATTTTGGAGACATTTCCTATCAAGTCTTGTAAATCATCCAATTTTGTGTGATTGAAAGTTTGTGTGTTAGTGTCATTTTTTATTTTTGTGGGAATGGAATTATGTCATACTGTTTTTTGCTTTTGGATATTTTACGTGTTGTTCTTTTTATGCCCCACTGCTACATGTTCACCTGAATTTAGATTCAATACCTTCAGTGCCCTAGTTTACTAAAGGAGTTGTGTAACAGCTAAATTTAGCATGAGAAATGTGAATAGTTTTAATAAAAAACGGAAAGGAAGTGTGTTTCATTTTCTCTCAAGTCTTAGCTTTTATGTCAGCTTTACTGTTTAGAAAATACTGATGGTCCTTTAAGTTTTTGCAAGCAATGAAGTTATAGGTTATTTCACTTTTCCATAATTTCGTATTGTGGTTATCACTGTTCTTTTGATGCCAGGGCTGTGAGAGGGAGGTTGCAGAAGCTGCTGAGGGTGACTTAGATGAACTTAAAAGGGATACCATAATGCGATTGTCATGGGCTCTTGTTCACTCTAAACAACCAGAAGATGTCCAGCGTGGGATAGCTATGCTTGAAGGTGAGCAACTTAAATTGTGTTCTCATCCAACTTCATCATTCGATGCCATCATGTAGGACAAATTAGATAAAGTTGCCCATTGTGTTTGAAAACAGAGTAATTGGGGATTTTAGGGTTAATTGCTGCAAGATGTGTAAATTGTTCAAGATCTGAGCATGTTTGGAGAATAGTGAAGTTGGTGGCGAGGAGTTGATGATTTGAAACAGATTTTAAGCTTCAGGTTTTCAGGTATAGCGGCTAAATATTGAAATGTGTGGTAAAGGCTTTATTGATTAGGAAAGCATTGTATAGGCATGCATGGTAATTGGATAAAATGGATGGCATTCTGCTGCATAATTTTAGGGTTCTCATTTTTTTTTAAATTTCTTGCAGTTTATATGGGTTATGTATTTTTAGGCAAAATCCTCATTAGTTTCTGAGGTTTAACAGATTGCCTTGTCAGACACCATGATTATGTCAGTAGTTGTTATTCTGCTTCACCCATAATCCCTTTTGTTGTAAGAATTTAGATTTGGAGTCTTACAGTGATTATGTTCCTACTGAAAATCTTAAAATCATTTAGGAAGTCCATTGCTTGCTACTACTACAGTTTTGCAGATGATGGAATATTTGCAGTATCTTCTTACTGCATTTGGTATCTCATTGTAAGCAAATGAAAATTTTATCTTTATGAACTAGCTACCCATAGCAGGAGTATTTGAGAAATCTATTCTTAAAAGGAAGGAAGTATTTAAAGAAGAAAAGTTAAAGAAAATCAAGGGCATGACAGTGAATCCCTAATGGGTTTGATGTAGTTGAGGAACTGACAGTCCTTGATCTGTCAATATTCATTGATAAATCATCACCTCGTTCATTTAATTGCTTCTTCTTGTCAACAAATTCCTTTTTAAGTTGTGCTTACTCTCTTTATTCTAATTTCTATATCTTTATGTATAATTTGCATGCTCTTTCTTGAACTAAAAACCCTGTTATTTGCAGCATCATTGGCAAATAGTAGCCCCCCTTTGCAACAGAGAGAGAAGATTTATCTTCTGGCCGTGGGATATTACAGAAGTGGTGAATATTCAAGGAGCAGGCAGCTGGTGGACCAGTGTTTGGAGGTCTCTTCTGTTTATGTGTGGATGCATGCTGTTTTCTTTTCATTCTTGGTTCTTTATTCTGAATTTCAACTTGTTGTAGATTGCACCTGATTGGAGGCAGGCTTTGGTCCTGAAGAAGACACTTGAAGATCGAGTTGCTAAAGGCATGCTTATACATTGAATTTTTTTATTCTCATTAGAGCTGATAACATCTACCTGAATAAATTTCACAGGGATTTATCTAAACAATACCGAAATGTGCCTGTCAAAATGCAGATGGTGTTATTGGAATAGGCATCACTGCTACTGCCGTGGGACTGATAGCTGGTGGAATTGCTGCAGCATTGGCTCGCAAGAAATGACAACTCTCAACCGCTACAATGCTCATAAAAAAAAAATATATTAAAAACAAAGAAGTATCTCCTGTTGTTTTCAACTTTTAAAATAATTCTAGGTTGTGAACTGTAGCATCTCTCAGTTTTTTGTATGTTACAAATGCTATATCGTTTGTAGTTACCAAAATAAGAGGGGCTTTAGCTATGAGTTGGTTGTGTACCATATGGCCATCTTTGAATCATTAACTCTTTGTAAGTATTTGCTATAGCAGCAACCTTTGACAATTTTGAACTTGCCATAAGTGTTTGTGAGAGCGCAGGTTTAAGCTTGCTTGTTTGTTTTTATGTTTTTAAATTGTTTTAATATATAAATATTAAAAATAAATTTAAAAAAATAAAAAATTATTTTAATGTATTTTAAAAAAACAACTGTTATCATTGAATGAAGCTTGCAATGATGGCAAGATGAAAGAAATCTCCATTGATCTTCATATAGTGCAAGGATTGTTTCTTGTCAATGTCGGTATGCAGGGCTAGCATTGTCTTATTCAGAAGGCTTGAATAAGACAATGGACGATGCCAAACTTGCAAGATATTGCAGTTTGAGAAAGAATAAATTACGCTCTTGAGTTTGGAATGCATTTATAATTTAATCTTTATATTTGAAAATATATAACAGTCCATGTACTCTTGCTGACTGCTGTCTTTGGGGAAAGTCTGTTGATTTTCCTCCGAACCCTAACCATGGAGATTTTTTCCAAAGAATTAAAATTCTCAGATAAAGACAAACACCAACAAATGCTCTCATAAGGCGAGGTGACCAGGAGTCGAGGATACAAAATCTATATTTTCAAACATGAAGGACTGCATTATAAATGCATTCAAACTGAGGGACTAAATAAATCATCATTTAGTTGTTCTGTAGACGCAATCTTCCTTTATCATTAGCGTTAGGGTGATTATTTTTAATTTGTTTTAGTTTTTATAAAAAAAATAATATAATCAAAATTGTTTTAAAAAAAAAATAAAATGGGTATAGTCAATTTTGGTTTAGTTTTTTAGAACAAAAACCAGTTCAAACTAATTTGGCTCAGTTTTTTCAGTTTGGCTCGGTTTTTTCAGTTTGGATTCGATTTTGTTCAGTTTTATTTTTTTAATTTCAAGTTTATAAAATTAAAATCAAATCAAATCAGTTAGTTTTTTTAAAATTCTAATCAGTTTTTTTTATGATTTGATTTTTTTAGTTTTTTTTTTAATTTTTTTAATTTTTTTTATTTTTTTTCATTTTTAATTAGCACTCGCATTTAACATGAATGTGGCTGGGTTGCTGAAAAAAAAGAGAGAGACTTTTTAGCAAAATCAACTCGTAATCATATTTATTAGACTGACTTGTAATTTTACTCTGTTCAAAACTTAAATTACAGGTTAATTTATGTCTATTTAAAAAAAAATTATTTTAAGTAGGAAAGGTTAAAACATCCTTTTGAACAAAAATAAATCTTTGAAGTTAACTCGACTAATTAATTGAATCATGAATTAATTCATCTAGCCACCTCTTTTTAAACGGGTCAATAATAATATACTTATAGCTCGAGTTATGTTTTGAATCAGCGAGTCATCAACGTAGCCATCAGAGTTTCGATTTGATAACCATGCCTCTAATGAGTGCTCCTCCAGGCTTTTAGTCTGCAAGTTTTACTTTTTCACTCTTTTATGGGTCAATTTCAGAATTATAATTCTCAGCAGTTTTATATTAACGAGGCTCATTAATTCCTCTCTTTTTTTTTCTTTTTTCCTTTTTTTTTAATTCCTCTCTTGCAGCTTTAGCCAAGGACAAAGAAATTATTGTACGAACTAATTTGGGTCCACGGTGCAAATATAATTATTGCATGTGCTGCAAGTCAATAATTTTATACATCACCAAGACTAGATTGGCTAGATTCTGAAAAAAGGGCAGAAAAACTAAATGGGCTGAAATCACATTTGGTCCTTCTACTCTGTGGTTTTCTTCAAATCAAGTCCTTCACTTTAACCTGTGCCAAATCAACCCCTTTTTTCATTCAATTAAATACGGTATGATACCCTTTTTCCAATTATATTATTAACCCATGGCATCCAACTGGCCAGTTATGTAGTAATAAAGTTGGATTAAGGGGCTCATATCACCTTTAATGGAAGCAAAGGAGTTTATCTGATCCAATTTAAAGTAGAGGGCTTGATATGATCAAAGGTAACAAGTAGAGGAATCAAGCATGGAATCATTCCTGTTTTTTCCAGCAAACTAAGATGAGACACAATTTACAGAGTGCACGAGTGCTGCTAGGTTCTTGAGGTTTTCTTTTTCTTTTTTCAAAGTTTCAAGAGCAGTAAAGCGGGCATTGCATGACAATGACTCAACCACCTCGACCTAACATTTGCAAAAAAAAATGAATCCTGGTCTGTTCTGGGCAATTATGTTTACTGGCTATGGTGGCCCAGCAAATTTTTCATGTGTCCATTTCAGCTTGTTTGTTAGGGTGCCTGTCGTGACTGGTGTCCACACACAGAGACACGGATTGATTTGGATCCATCATGATTTTATGGGAAAATGCTGCTGCTGCCGCTCATGATTTTCTTCTGCTAAAGCCTCCTGACCACGACTAGCCAGGGTTCCTGTCTCTTGAAATTTCACAAAAAAAACTAGTGACTAGTGTACACAGTACACACACAGAGACACGGATTAATTTGGATTCATCATGATTTTCTGGGAAAATGCTGCTGCTGCTCATGATTTTCTTCTGCTAAATCCTCCTGACCATTACTTGCCAGGGTTCCTGGCTCTTGAAATTTCACAAAAAAACTAGTGACTGAAATTGCCGATGCCCTAGCAATCAAGTTGTGTTATGTCTGGTTACGGATTCTCAGAGTGGTTGGTGTGAAAAGTAGAGAGTTGGGACAGGAGAAAAGGGCGTGGAAACTCAAATTCCCAGCAAAAATTCATCCATGCATCCTTTGTCATCGTTATGAGCACAGGTTTAGGTTCGACCTCAGATCACGACTATCTTCCCTTTTCTTCCCGGCTGGAAAGCACTATTTCGAGCCGGGATCCTCCATTTGAAGCTCCTTGAAAAGCCCTTCAATCCATATTCATCTTGGAACTAAGAACCAAGCATGCAAGGTTAATTTTAATATGCCCCAATCATCTTTTAACAATATTTTAAAAAATAATCACCATCAAAATTAAAATCCAATCTTATCTCATTTAATGTTGATCTAGGTAGCTTATTCTTTTTATCTCATTTTCTCTGGTGTTCACGCTTCTAAAAGAAATAATAATAATAATTAAGACAAATAAAACAGAGATCAATAGCCATGCTAAGTTGACATGCAAATACATGATCAATCAAGTTAATTGAAATAATATGAGTTGAAAACCCTAAAGAAATTGGTTCCGGTGTGGAATTCATGAGGAAAAAATTCATTAAAACAAGATAGGAAGAAGGTATTTAAGATTTGATCTCAACATGGATATGTAATGGCATCAATCTAGAGCTACCATGATAAATCAATTATTACTTAATCAATTTAATTGAAATTTGATTTAATATTTTTTAAAAAATTAAATTAAATTCATTTAACTCATATCCCAGATCTTCATCCATCAAAAGCGGTGTAATAATTTTGATTAAAACCGGAAGTTATTGTGGCCCCTCTAAAAGGCACACGAGCATGAATAAGTTGTATGAATACCTGATTAACGAACAAGCAAAATAAGATGCAGGCACGATCATTTGGTGATTGTACTTGCTTTGCTTCTAATTTCAATAAGCACTTCATTAAAACCAATTACCAAATATTTATCATAATGTTTTTTCTTTCTTTTATAAACCATGTATGGGTCATCATTCTCTTAGCACCTGCGGACTTGTAAATTAATAATATGTTTAAAAATGTAATACAAATCATGTTATCTTAAATCTTAAATCTTAAATTTTTTATTAAAAATTATTTTTTTTATATTTTTAGATCATTTTAATATTTTGATATTAAAAAATAATTTTAAAAAATAAAAAAATAAATATTATTTTAATATATTTTAAACTAAAAACATTTTAAATTATAATCACTATTATAATTATAAAACCACTATAAATCATACAAAGGGGAACACACACAACTAACATAAAATTTGAACAAAAATCAATTAGAGACTATTCTGTAGATATTTTTAACTTATTAGATTATTTAAAAAAAGTAAGAGGTTAAAATAATAATGTGTTTGAAAATGTAATTATAGTTATTTTTTTAAATAATTTTTATTTAGAAAAGTATGTTAATAATATTTTTATTTAAAAAAAAATATTTTTAAAATAAATACATTAATATAATTTAAAAATATCAAAATCATATTAATGTAAATAAAAATATTTTTAAAATACAGTGCCAGATAAACAGTAAATAACTATAGAGGAAAATGATAATACATGATAGTGAAAAATATGATTTTTTTTTCTCTGCGAACTGACAGTGAAAAAGACTCTTCAGTATTTCCTCAAAAACTGACACACTCCTCACTTTATTCTTCGAGATTCAAACAGAGCTCAAGAACATAATTTCATATGCATAGATGATTGTGGTCTTAGCTTGAAACCTGATTAATAAATGACAATCTCACAACGCAAATGCTCGAGAATGCATTTACCCTTAAGATCCTAGATGATAACATAATAATAATAATAATAATAATAAAGAAAGATAGATCTTAAACACTACGGATAACCAAGATGACTGCCCATGATAAATCTTATCCTTTGGTTAAAATTTTATTTCCTAATTTAGCACCTAATCTGATAGAATCCAACTTTGAAAACACCAAACATTTTATCCTTAATCAATTAAAAAAAAAAAAACCCTCCAAATCTACTTTCCAACAGCTATAATGACATCTATCTTCCACTTCCAACCCCCATGAAAGCTCTCTGTCACCAGCACGCAGACTCCTCTTTCTCCGAACTTGCCTCTAGAGCTCTCTCCATCACCCTCACAAACCGACAAAGCCACAGGCCTAAAACTCGAACCAAAAAAGCAAGAGAAAGACTGGATAAGCAAAAGCTCTCCAACAAGCAAAACCAAACCAAAAAAGTTGAGCAAGCGAGAAGCAGCTTATAGAGAGACAGAGACATCCATTTTTCTTCATTCATGGGCTGTTCTGCTTCAAGACCAAATACCCTTCTCACAAAGAATCACCATCCTGAAGAGACCTTATCTTATGCTTCTCCTTCTAAAGATAACTCCATGTTTTCTCCACAGTATTCG